TATATATTAGACTCATAGCTTATAATTTCCCAGCATGTTTTGTTGGGACCTTGAAGAGTGTAGAGCTGGCTGATAGCATAAACAGTACTTTGTATTCCTGATCTGCTTACATTCATACAGAATTAGGGACTGAAAAGTGTTTGCAAACTGCTGCCATAAGAAAGCTTTACAAATCCTTTGAATGCATAATGACAGTTTGCTGAATGAGCTATTTTTGTTAGTTCAGTTACCATGGACACTCAATAATTGTACTTATTTACTTTTTACTTGTCTTGTTCCGAATGTGAGAAAAATATAGAAGATCTACTCCAATATACAATGAACAATAGAAATGCCAAGCAGAAGCAACGTAAATAGTGTGTTTTGCAAAGACTTTACATATTCAAGAAGGGACAGTCATATGTTAAATTGTTTCCCGAATGTGTGCACTGCTGTGGTCCAATTTTTGCTACCATAGTTTGAAGTCTATCTAAAGTTAAGCATATTTCTGCTCCTGGAGCTACTGAAGAGCAGCAATGCCTTCTCTGTTGGTTCTCTTGGAGCACCACCTAATGGATGAGTTAGGAAAGGTCCTTTTCCAGCAAGCTTCTGGCCAGCCTAAATTTCTTATGTTCTTCTCATCAAGTACCTGCACATCAACACCGTTCCAAAATTGTGCCCAGTTATGCCAAATGGTGGATAAATAACACAGCTGGTTAAGTAAAGCTGCCATTCTATGTGTTGATACCAGTGTCTTTCACATGTACCAGCAACTTGAACTTTCTTTAAAAGTTTGGTTAGACTATAGACTAAATTTGCAGTTTTCTTCTAAGATAACTGGCCTCTGGATCTATGTAGTAACAACTTTCAACCATTTCTTACTGCCCTGCTTTGCCTCTTTGTACAAATGGTAGTTGTAATTCAGCTGTCTTCTATTTTTGTTTATTTTTTTCTGCTGCTTCGATATAAGAAGGAAGGGAGTAGAGAGGAAATGAAGGTAGGATCAAAAAAGAAGGAAAATGAAAGGCATTAGTAGATATTGAGTTCCCCAGAGCAAGGATCTCAGCTGGTTCTCTAGGGCAGACTGTCCTCGTAACCCTCTGTGGTGTTTCGTCGCATGGGGAAATGTTCTCCCAGCTGAACCCTTTCCACTTCTTGGCCAACATCTCCATCTGTTTCCATCAGCAGTTCACTGAAATGCCCACAGATTTTTTACTTTTCTTGCTGTGAGAAGGAAAGTTTCTCTTTCCATTGGCAGTTTTCCTACTGACC